AAACAGCCCCAACCACCATGCAACATAGCTTTCAGTTTGCAATTGTTGTATACCATAGCAGGGTGTGTATCACTATCATCATCACCATTAGCTCCCACCAAGCTTTTGCTGGCTTCTCCTAAATTGATAAATGGTTCAATTTCTTCATCTTTGCTTTTAATGCTCTATATGATTTCCCCTACACTGTCTCAAACACCTCGATGGTTCTCAAACACTTGCTTACTATAATTCCTTTTTTCTTGTCTTTCAAATGTTGCCCATCTCTATTTCTGGTATGAAGCTAAAATAGCACCTAATTGCTTGATCTAGATATTAATCAATCTCATCAAATAGAACTTTAAACACTTCATAAATGCCATCTAGTGCTCCAAGCCCCAAAATCAACAGATCACTTTATTTTCTTTCAATGGCACTAACACACTTAACATTTTGTTTCAGTTTCAAAAACCGTTGAGTAATTTGTCAGCAAAGCAAGACATCCTCCAATGCCATGTAGACCCTGCAGCTTCCACCAGATCTTGATTCCAATGACATCAGTTATCCCAAATAATTTTCATAATTAGATTTATTTTAGTGATAGTGGGTGCTTATCAAGGTGAGCAATTTTAATGCTAGGAGCTCAGAAAAAGTACAACATGCATGCACTGTGTTTTAACAGTCATAGAGTTGTACAGCACGCAAACAGATGCTTTGGTCCAACTTGTCCATGCCAACCAGATATCCTAAATTAATCCAGTCCCATTTGCCAGCATTTGGCCCATATCCCTCTAAACCTTCCTATTCATATACCCATCTACATACCTTTCAAATGTTTTAATTGTACCAGCCTCCACTACTTCCAGCTCATTCCATACACACAACATCACCTGCATGAAAAAGTTGCCCCTTAGGTCCCTTTGATATCTTTCCCCACTCACCTTAAACCTATGCTCTCTAGTTTTGGGTTCCTCTACCCTGGGAAAGAGACCTTAACTATTCACCTTATCCATGACCCTCATGATTTTATAAAGGTCTATTAGGTCACTGTTCAACCTCCAACATTCCAGGAAAAATAGCCCCAGCCTATTTAGCCTCTCCCCATAGAACACACAGAACACAGAACAGTACAGCACAGTACAGGCCCTTCAGCCCACAATGTTGTGCCAAACTTTTATCCTAAACCTAAGGTCTATCTAACCTCCACCCCTACCTTATACTATCATCCATATGCTTATCTAATAGCCGCTTAAATGCCCCTAATGAGGCCGACTCCACTACCCTCTCCGTCAATGCATTCCACGCCCCTACCACTCTCTGAGTAGAGTAAAGAACCTATCTCTGATGTCTCCCCTATACCTACCCCCACTCACTTTAAAACTATGCCCCCTCATAATAGCTACCTCCACCCTAGGAAAAAGTCTCTGGCTGTCCACTCTAGCTCAAACCCTCCAGTCCTGGCAACATCCTTATAAATTTTTTCTGCACCCTTTCAAGTTTAACAAGATCTTTCCTATAACAGGGAGATCGGAATTCCAGTAAGTACTCCCCTCAAGTCAGCATCGTGATGCATTTGCAGCTCTGAAACCTACCAAAATGCAGCTCTACTGAGTGAGATGCTCAGTCCCCAGAAGAACTGGATTGTTATTATAGAAAATCACTTCATATACAGCCTTTCTAACTCACCGCAGACAAACAGCTCAAACCTGTAAAATCAAAAGCGGAACTACTGTTAAATGCAATTCCGACACACTTAGACTGTAAGTTGAATCAAGCACTGAGGGCCAACAGTTAAAGGTTATATTGACTTCAATAAATAATGCAAATTTTCAGTGCTCCTTCAAGACAGCAGAGAGTATTTATGGTATTACAGTTTTGGATGCCAGACTTATAGTTTATATCCTCCAAATTGTTCATTTGCTCTGACCCATGATATACTTTTACAGTCATTCCTGATATTAACAATATGCCTGGCCTGCAGCCACAAAATTTCCCCTAGATTGAGGACTGGCAGGATATATATTTCCTGTAGTAAGAATGGGTGCGTCATATTTGATTGGCTTCCAACTATCTTTTCAAACTGTCCAAGTTTTAAAGAATGGGTTAAGTCAGCGGGAAAGAGAGAGTCTTGCCCATGGGTATGATTAAGATGCAGAAAGATGGATTGCCCTTCCTTCTCTGGATTTATTACAAAATGTTCACTCAGCCAGGACCAAACAAAAAGAACACACACCTTAATAGTCCATCCATGACCTTTTATGTTTGGTTTTCCACAGCTTTGCGTCAACAATAGTCCAGTGACAACCAACAAATAAAGTAATTCCTTTCTTCTCCAACACACAACTAAAAGGCATGGCAAAAGGTGGAATGTACCTATCTGACACACACTTACTACCCGTTACCTGCAAGCAAGGGTCCTGGATGCTGTACCAAGAACCTGGAACCTATTTTGTTGTACTGACTAGCAGAGTAGGCTCAACAGGATTCCATGCTCTACTATTGCTCCAATCTTGCATTCCTGCATTGAAACCATTCAGACTGTATGCAACAGACACTGTTTGATATGAATTGTGAATATATATTGTAACTTTGACTTGTAAATTGTAACAGTAGTTATTGTAAACATTGTATTGAAAGAAACTAAATGACAATGACAAATTGAAATGTTATGTAAATCTTAGAAATGTGATGAACTAAGTATTTTAAGAAAAGGTTGCCATCTTACATATGATGTGGCAAAGGACAAAAAATAAATACTAGACAAATGCTAGAGATGGTGGTGTAGTGGTAATGTCACTGAACCAGAAGCCACACTTCTGGGGATGTCAAATTCCCACCATGGTAGATTATGAAATTTAAATTTAATAAAAATCTGAAGCAAAACGTTAGTCTAATGGCAACAAAATATCCATCTCATTCACTAATTCTCTTTATGGAATGAAAGCTCCAGACCTCCAGCAATGTAGTTGACTCTGGTCACTTAAGGATAGGTAATAAATGGCACTGTCTCGCCGGTGACATTGCTATCCCATTAATGAACAAACAAAAAATGTTGGGGACAACAACAAAAAAAGACTCACAATTGAACAACCACAGCAGATCAAGAGGAATGAAGAGTTAAAAAGATGAATGTGAACTTTTGAAACAGAAGTAGATAATTAGAAGTAGGGAAACTCTCCAAGACTATACCACCAAATTTTGCACAACTCTAGGGCTCAGATGTAATGCCAGAATATTTAAGGGAAATATTTTTGCTAGAAGCTACTACCTGCATTTCCATTCCATTGTCCAATGATGTTGCCTAATGTTAATTAGCAGGCAACATTCTCAGATTTCAGCCATAGCGATCACTATAATCTAAGCCTGAAAATTTAGACCACGAAAAAAATGTAAAACCCGTAAAGGCACACAGCTGCACACATTTATTACACAGCAATTCCCAACCTTTGCAACCCAGAAAGTCAAGGGCATCATGGTGTACAGAGCGAACACAATAGACTTCTCGGGAATCTCAGAAATCTCATATGTTAGTTTATTTGGCTTCATCCATTTCTCATTAAATGATCCCTGACAGTTACGCTTATTAGTCCACAACAGAAATGCAGGAGGCATTTTAGGAAGTCAGCAGGAATGGCACATTTAAGAGTTAATAAGGCGACTTCGACTCCAGGAATTTACATAACAGATCATACATTGGCTGTGCCTAGTTCCTGCTGTCCAAGAGCTGATAGCTCCTCTGCCTTTGTCTGCATTTCCAGTTAAATCCCAAGTCTTTGTCTCTTTACCGGAGCCTAAGCGTTAACTCTTTCCAGGAAGTTTAATCGCTTTAAAAACAGCACCGAAGAGCACAACAGAAACAAAGCAACAAATGTAGGAGGAACTAAAGATTTATCAGCCTCTGTAACACAACACAACAAAGGCATCACACTGGCATTCGGAGCAGCGGCAATACATTGCACTCGAGCAGTTATAAACAAGTGGCGAAATAAATGTAGGAAGTGGTACGTACGGAGGAGCTTAGAAGTGAGAAATGAATGAATAGCAACAAACAGATTGCTTGTTGGATTCTTAGATAACATCAGCATTCTGCAGAGGCTCGCATGTTTAATCCGGGTTAATTTCGACAACCCCGCCCCCCCCCACCACTTCACAAGAAGTCTGCGTCCACGAGGAAGGTTTTAAAAATATATCCCATGAGAAATCAGCACTGTCAACATCCCCCTTCGATCAAAGCCTTTCAAACAAACACATACCCCCAACAATACAGACTGAGCAGTGAGCCTTCCCAACTGGACCACCCTCCCCCAATACATTCATAGCTCTCTTGCCTGACAAGATTATGGGGCTCTAAACATCCATGAACGCTGGTCACCAGAGTTAACGTGTTGAAAAAGAAACACACGGAAATAAAACACTTTCTGTGAGAAGGGGGTGGGGGGCAAGAGACAGCTCAATCAAACAGCTGCTCACTCACGCCTGGGCACCGAAACAAAAGACAAGCAAGCAGAAATACAAAAATAAGCTTCTTCACCATCCCCCCCCAAACTTTTCGACCAAATATACAGGCAGCTCTGCTTTCACCCTACCCCCTCCCCAAGCACCTCGGTTAGTGAGAACTCACCTGTGTGCGTCCCCCCCTCAAGGGGAAGGGGCTTCACTTCTTCCCAGCTCCTGCCACAAAGTGACAGCTGCCTGAAAAAGAGAGAGCAGAGGTTCCAGCTTTACTCAGTCCGTTCACTGCCCAGCTCATCCCACTGCGCAAGCGCTACAGCACCCACAACAACTTAAAGAGACAGAGAAAGAAAAGCAGAACTGCTGGAGAAACTCTTCAGGCTCACAGTGGACTCGAAACTTTAACTCTGTCTGTGTGTGTGTGTGTGTTTGCTGAGTTCTGTCGGCTTTTGTTTTAGATTTCCAGCAGTATTTTTCCTTTTAAACCAATAAAAGTAAACTTTTGCCCAAACTTGGGGAGACGTGTGTCTGTGTGTGTTTAGGGGGGGGTGGGACGTCGTGGGAAGAAGAGATTATTCTGGCGCCGAGTGTTTGTAAACATTGGCATTCTTAAAAACCATGCGCAAAGTTTGTTTCTGACTCACTGGCGAGATGATCAACTCTGCAATTTTTGTTTCGCATCAGCCTCGTAAGTAAAGTTTTCCTCCCATAAACAAAACATCAGTGCGTCCATTCAGAGAAAATCCGGGAATTGTTTCATCTGAAGAAAGGAAGTGTTGAAACAAAATTTGATGATTTGAGTGGATGGCGAAAAGCGAAGAGGATTTTTTTTTCTTTTTGGACATAAAAATAAGGGTCAGGCCCCGTTATGATAATTGATATTAGTTGCGGGAATGTAATGATATTCTCCAACTTTTTGGATTCTAGTTTGGAGGTGCCTTAATAATAGCGGTGAAACTGAAATCTTCCTGAGAATAAGGTGTTGCTTCCTTATCTGAAGTGTAGGACCAGACACATTAATTTTTGCTTGTTCACACTTTGGAGTGTAGACCAGAGGTGGAGAATTGTTTTTTTTAAAAAAAAGTCCTTCTGCTTATTTCTCAGATGTACTTTTCCAAAAAGTTGCTAAAAATGCATCACCCAATTCTAATTTCACATTATGTGAGATGCGATACAGCTCTATCTCGGTGCATTATTGTATGTCAGAGGGTCCAATCGTGTTCTAACATTTGTGTTCTAACGCACTAAAACATCTTTGAGTGAGTACTATTCGCATGAGAGAAGTGTTTGGCAAACATTTTTGTTAAGGTTGACATCTCAGCGTAATGAGGAGATATCCTGTGGATAAGTATACCACGTGGTGTAGTAATAGAATTGTGCGTATTTCATTTTAACCCCTTAAAGTCCTGCCAAGTATCACTTATCATGGGCGCAACTCATTTAGAGCAGGGGATGAGGACATAATAAGAAGGTGTTTCCAATCCAACATGTCACTTTCAAAATTGTACACAAATGTCAAATACTTCTTTCATTAAATTGCAAGGAAAGTGGTTTAAGTACTGATTGTCCACATCTGTAGGACGCCTCTACAGCCTAACAGTATAAGCAAGCTCAGACATGAGAAAGGACGCTTTGACACGTTACCAGACATCCTCTGAATTGATAACATAATTCGAATTACTGCATTAGTAGGGGAGATATAAAACAGACATCTGGAAGGAACATTGGAGGAGGAGAAAGACCATTAATTAAATAAATATGAACAGAATATTTTAGAAGCCAAAGTGTAGTGTCAATGCAATTTGTATCATCAACTCATTGTTTATTAACCTCTGGCAAAAGGATTGCCAAATACTCCTTAATATGGAGGCAGTAAATCTTTAACAGTTTTCCTGGTCTTTAAGATGATTCATGTGGTTTTATTGGTGTGTGATTGAATGATTTCTTGGATATGTCCACACAGTCACAAGAACACAGGCATTGAAAGCATATTCAACCACTCAATCCATAGAAATGAGCTGGGGAATTTACCTGCATGCCTTTGTGTTTCATAATTGCTGGAAAATAATTGATGTAAATAGTCTTTTGGAGAATGTGCTTGATCGTAATGTGGAGTAATCCAAGAGTGCAGAGTGAACTGTTTAAGCATGCATCATTACATCTACAATTTTCTTTGTGTTTTAATGTTAAACAGACCCTTATCTAACAAAGAATGGAAACTTGAATATTGCTGAAAAGAAGGGGATGTTACCATAGGTGTTTTTCTCCCTGTACTCATCAGGACAAATGCAAGAATGCCAAATTTCAAATGATGCTAGCAACTGACACCACTGGAGAAAAGGGTGCTGACTGGTTGGCAAGTCAACTCTGATTGGCCAAGACTTTGCCATGGAGAAACCAACAGGGAATTAAAGACTCCACAGGATTCTGGGTAATTCAAAAAAAGGTTCAAAGCTTGAACACCTTTTAGTTTGCAGAGAACAGAACCCTGCAGGGAAAAGTAAGTGTACTGCAAAAATCATTAGGTAACCAAAATTCCACTTATTTGAGAAGAATTGTGGAGTTGTGGAAAACACTGTGAAATGAAATGGAAGGTCACATGTTTATGTCCACAGTTCTTACTATATTGCCAAACTGAGTTCTTGCCATCATACATTTTTGTTTCTTTATTCTTTCGTGGGATTTGTCATTATTTACTCATTCATTGCCTCTGAAAATGCAAAATGTAACTCAAGGGGTCAAACAACATAGTTTGAAAGATCTGGACATTGGCACACTTGACCTGTACTGTATTTCCTAAACATAATAGGCATGCTAGTGTAGAAGGTATTATATTTTGGATGTAAAAGTTAAATGAAAGCCCACATCTGTAAGTCATTGTTACTAGTCCCATGCCGTGCAGCTAGCAAATAAATGCTAAATTAAACATTTACACTTAGTGCAGGGCTGGATGAACACAGCAGGCCAAGCATC